ATAATATTATAATATATATTGTATATATATATTATTATTATTATTATTATATATAAGTTTTTTTCCAATAAAAGATATCAGAATAGAAAAAAATTGAAAATACTAGATTCACCCCAGACAAATTCAATCCAATACTTCTTTAGAAAAGTTTTTCAGTAAATGTATGTAAATTACTTCTGCATATGTAAAACAAAGTTACAATTTGATAGGTTTTTCATGCAAGAAATGAAAAACGTTCCTTCTTTATTACACATCATGTTCTAACTGTTAATTAGGAGCAGTACCATGCTCCAGAGGTGCAGTGCTCTACAAACACCACAAGCTACCTTGGTTTCTGCAAGCTTTCATAAAGAGATAGCTATAAGTTGTTTTCATGCTTGAACAAGTATGTCAACAGGATGGAATGACACCTTCAAGCATCCTAATACAACACCATAAATAATAGAATCATTAAGGTTGGAAAAGACCTCTAAGATCATTTAGTCCAAATGTCAAATCCAGAAATCTACTGAAGCAGAGATACATAGACAACAGTATGCGTCCTGTATTTCCATGCTATTTTGCTACATATCTAATGCCATTTCCTGAACAAGAAATGTTAGTAGCTGTTTGGCTAGTTCTATTATAGGTATCATCAACTAAAAAAAATAAAGCAAGCAACAAAATCCAAAACTCGTTCTTGATAGCTAAACACGCATTAGAGTAAATGCATGCAAACAAGGAAAAAGGGAGAAGAACAAATAAAAACGAAAAGCATAGAGAAAAGATCTGCTTTTAAAAAGAGAAAGCGTAACAGTATCCAAATAATCCATATAAAGCAGTGACTAACACTGATACCAAGTCATAAGCAATAAACATTCGTCCTTGTTATCCTGATAAAGGAACACAGCATACCCATTAAAATGGCAATGCAATAATCCCAGCACAAAGCTCAACCTTAACTCAGAACAAGTCAACATGTTAAGCCTTTTATTGACAAGGTTACAAACGAAGCATACTGTTATGTGTTTATAACACATATAACTGCCTATTACAACTGCTTTACGTCATCCAAGAAGTTTCAGTGGATACAGGAGGCCAACAGTAACAGTAAGGGGACAAACAAGAAAAGAGACAATTCCAAGTTTACTTACAAGATCTTTCCACATACTGTGCAGTTTATACCTTTGCTTCCTGGACAAAAAAAAAAAATGAAACAGTCATCTGGACACCACACTCAGACATAAAGCCTGATTTTGAGTAGTGCTGTATGGAGCCCAGAGTTGGACTCTGTGATCCTTGCAGGTTCCTTCCGACACAAGATATTCAGTGACCCTACGGCCTTGCAGAGAACTATGTAAGACTATGCAAATATTAACATGAAAGTCTCTGCCACAATTGAACCTTGGCATTCCTACATTTCTTAAGAAGTAACTTTGGAGCTATTCCGGATTAGCTCCTAAAAATATCATTAAGCCATAGAACCACTTATCAACAGGTGTTAAAAAACAGTACCTGCTGATAAGCACTACCAGGAACTCAAATGAAGTCCATGATACAACAGTATTCCCAAGGTCAGAAGACCAAGATTCATTCCACTTACACAAGATAAAGCTCAGGGCATAGCAGTCTCATTCTAAGCAGCTATGGGATGCAGCAGTCATACTGTGAGTGATGCCCTGAAAAAGCGTTATTATGAAACTCTGCCTATTACAAATACATAGCTGGCTGTATATAGAAAATAAAAATAAAAGTTAGGAACTGTGGGGTGGGAAAAGAAGCAGAAAAGGTGTTGTCTAACTGAGCAGCAGAAGAGTTATAACCCTATAAAAAGCTGTTTCCAAAACAAGAGAGGGCAAGAGTCCAAACAACCAGATATGCTGGGATGGTAGAGCTTGGTCAGTTATTAGCTTAGCTGAGATTAGTGTCCACAGCACCCAGAACCTCACACACACAAATCACTTTGCTGCTAAAGGACGCAGCAACTGTCTGCCTGGCATTTGGATGCATTCTTCCACAGTACTACAGGCTGCCCAGAGAGCTTGTGGAGTCTCCTTCTCTGGAGACATTCAAAACCCACCTGGATGCGTTCCTGTGTGACCCAATCTAGGTGTTTCCACTTTAGCAGGGGATTGGACTAGATGATCTTTTGAGGTCCCTTCCAATCCCTGACATCCTACGATTCTGCTCACTTCCCTCCACAGAGGAACAAACAACCTCAACTTCAGGTAGCACAATGCACATCTCAGTCCGCAGAAATGAGACTTTGCTGGCGGTTCAGGGCTGGGAAGCTTGCAAGAACACTTGTTTGCCATAGCCAAATTGCAAATGATTGAGCTTGCAGACGTAGTTAGCAGGAGATAGCCACGCTGCTGAAAAATGAATAAAAAGTAGCAAAGCTAACAAAACTGACATATTTAGGTGTTTGCCCAGATCAGCAGCTTTCCATCATGACTTTTCCACTCTCATGAGAAGCTGTGAACAAAGGGGTCTGTGGCAGATGACAGAATTGTGAGATTTGAAAGAGATCTCTGGACAGTTCAAACCCCTGCTAAAGGCAGTTGCCTACAGCAGGTTGCACAGGAAAGTGTCCAGATGAGTCTTGAATATCTCCAGAGAAGGAGACTCCACAGGCTCTCTGGGCAGCCTGTTCCAGTGTTCTGTCACCATCAGAGGAAGAAAAGCCAGCTCATGCTAGGGGATTGGATTCACCACATTGAAGCCCTCATTGCCAGAGACTGCATTAAGGATGCATGTGCTCACAACATGGGACGAGCACTAATGCAGCAGCACAGCTGTAGCAGCACCTGAACCTTGTCCATTTCATTGACCAATGCCCCAAACAGTGCCTGTCTCACCCCTCGCATTCCGCTGCCTCGCTCGATGCAACCCAGTCCCAGTAGGTGAATCTGCTTCCTTTGGCTCTTTGTAATGCGCTGAAGGCGTGAGTGTAACTTTACTCAGGGCAAACGGGGACACCCAGGACAAGGGCTCAGTGTGAGAGCAGTCTGTCAAGTTCACCGACCCACACTCGGCCCTGCAAACCTGCGGTGAAACCCAAGGTGCAGAGAGGTGTGAGCTTCAATGGGACCGCCGGAAGGAGCGTGAAGGGGGGTGAGCACAGCACTCCAAGTTCTGGCCTGGAAGCCTCAATGATACAGAAGCACAGAATGGTTTGGTTGGAAGGGACCTCACAGCCCACACCACCCCAACCCCTGCCGTGGGCAGGGCTGCCCCCCACCAGCTCAGGCTGCCCAGGGCCTCATCCAACCTGGCTTCGAGCACCTCCGGGATGGGGCACCACAGCTTCTCTAGGCAGCTGTGCCAGCGCCTCACCAAGCTCTCTGTGAAAGAATTTCCCAGTAACATGTAAAAATATTATATGATTCCTGCAGGAAGGAATCTACCAACAGAGACAACCTTCCAAAATTTGAATGGACAAACTACGACACCCGTATCCAGAAACTCGCACTTTCGCAAGAAACCACAGAGCAGCAACATAACGAAGAGACCCCAGAGCTTGACTCTGCTTTGGTTTATCCTGCACAGGAGCGACAACGCTCTGACACCTCGGAACAGCCACCTTATTCCGCCGCATTCTGCCTCGCGGCATATCCCTCCTCGGGAAAAGCCGTCGCTACCCCGCACCCCGGCACAATGGGGATGTAACGTCGGAACCCTCCGCACCCCAAAAGCCAAGCCCCGGCTGAAGCCCCCCCGGCCGCCCGGCCCCGCGGGCGGGGAGCACCGCGCTTACCTGGAGCGCAGCGCGGAGCAGACGCGGCACGGCGGGCCGGCGGCAGCGGAGGGTCGGGGAGGAGTCAGGCGGCGGGGGAGCGGCTGAAAGGGGCCGGGCGACGAATCCACCTGCGGGCACCTGCCCACCCCCTTCTCCGGCCGGGCAGCGGGCTTCCAGCCTTCCTTCCGTCCCCTCTTTCTCCTCCCTCGCCCTTATGCAAAATAAACGCCCCAGGGAAGCGAGCAACGAGAGCTATCGGCCCTTCCCTGAAGTGGGTAGGGTCGGGAGGTGATAACGAGTGCTCCCATCGTGCTCGGGCTGCAGAAATAATTTCCTTTTTCCTTTTTAATAGCAACATGATAAAAGGGTGCTTTTAAAGACGCCTGCGGTCTCAGTAGTCGCATTACTCTGATGGCTCGGGGTGACTCTCCTTTAAAGCAGATCTACAAACGAATTGGGTTATTTCTGCCAAAACAGCTCCAGCGCAAAATAAAAAACCACTAGTGTCCAAAAACTTCAGAGTGTTACTGAGAAAGTCCACAGGAAAATGAAGAATTTATAGCAATGCATCCAGATTACCTACAGCTGTGCCAGCATCTCTGCATGGAGATTACAGAGAAGGGAGGGCATGAAGTTGGGCATGAGAAATGTTTGGGTTGTGTGTATGTTCAGATGTGTATCGAGGAATGACATCAGACGCACCAAGAAGCCACAATCATACTTCGGTGTTTTTCCAGCTATATATATTTATTTAAAGACAGACATATCTTCTGATCTCTCAGTACAAAACAGTGTTTGCTGAAATATCACAGTGGGCATGGATGATCTTACAGGTCTTTTTCAGCCTCAATGATTCCATGATCTTTAAGTTTTACTTAGGCTTTCCAGCTGTGCCTTTCTGTTGGGCAATTTTTGATTATGTTCTCCTAGAAAGAGTCAGTGAGACTGAGATTTTCCAGTGTGGATTCAGTTGCAGTAACTAGTCCTCTAATTTCTCCTGAAGCAAAACGCAAGAATGTTGCATGTCACATCTGCAGTGGTCCTCTGAAGCTTACACCTGTGTGGCACATTCTTGTCTTTAACCTACAGTAACTCTGCCAATGACCCTCAGAGTTTAGAAGAACTTTAGTTTTGTGATAGCACAAGGGGGAATAGCTTTAAACTAAAAGGAGGAGATTTAAATTAGATGTTACTGGGAAATTCCTTCCCCAGAGGGCAATGAGGTGCTGGCACAGCTGCCCAGAGAAGCTGTGGTGCCCCATCCCTGGATGCTCTCAAAGCCAGGTTGAATGGGGCCCTGGGCAGCCTGAGCTGGTGGGGGAAAGCCCTGCCCACAGCACAGGATGGGATGGGTTGGGCTGTGAGGTCCCTTCCAACCAAACCATTCTGTGATTCAGTGATCACCCTTTGGTTTTGTCCAAATACCCTGCACGCTGGCTGCAGGTAAAGAGAAAGGGAGGTGTAAAATATAAATGCTGGTTCCTCTATGAGTTGATGATGTCCACTTCTAAGGGATTATACCAACTAAGCAGAAGGACATAGTAGCAGGGAATTGCCAAGTGTGCTCTCTGTTGGGAAGAAGCCTTAGAAAGGGAGCCATGTGGCTTAGTGAACTGCACACAATACCAGCAGGGCTGCCATAGCGGGGATACAGTGGGGCCCCATTACAATGAGCGGCACTCTGCTTAGTTACAGACTGGAAGGCCTGGGCCCCCGCCAGCAGCCCGCTGATTAATGCTGTTAGCACCTTTTCTTCTCAGAGGGAAGACAGACGGATGGCAGAGCTGGCCAGGGACAAATGCACTCCCTCTTTACCCCAGTTCTCTCTTGCTTCAGTCTGGCCAGAAGGTTGGTTTCTGTCTCACTGAAGGGATGATGTTTCTGTTCTCAAACATACTAAAAGCTTTTTTTTTTTTTTTTTTTTTTTGTTTAGTTGTTGAAATTGGGTTAATATTCTCCGAGCTTAACTCAGTTTGCTAACAGAGGTCAAAGGGACACTCACACAGAGCAGCAGAGGTGGGAAGGGGACATTGCCTCCCTCCTCCTTGCACCAGAAGTTGCAGGGTCTGCTCAGCTTGTCCTTTCCAGCTGAGGACCAGCTCATGGCCCCTTCTGCAGCACATTTGTGTATATGTCTACATTAATGTCTTTTAATTATGCAAGCTGACTTTTGCAGAGCTGGATGCCAAGCGTTCATTTCATTAAGGTATCACAAGCCAGGGCTGGGCTGGGCCTTCAGGGCTGGTGCATGCCTGCAGAGAACCTTTTCTTGCCCAGAGCTGGTGATGTCCCAGCATTACCCAGCATGACACTGCTTGCCTCCGCTCTTACCCAAACATCTTTTTCACATTTAATAGTTTCAGTGTTCTGTGAACCACTTCCTCTTCTGCACTTATGCATGTGTGGGGAAGGGGATGATGCTTGCTTTAGTTTTTATAGGGAAAGAAGTTGATGCTTCTGTTCATTTGTGCTAAGGATCAGTGTGTGAATGAACTGATCCACTAAAGTGTCTGGCAGCACTGCCCACTGCATATCTGTCCATATGAAAACGTCACCATTCCTTGGCTTCTCCCTCTACTTTACTGTTGAAGGCCGTTAACCATAACTTTTATTGTTCCCACAGTGATTCATCATCATAGTTCATTTCCTACTCTGTTAATACTCAGCATATAACAGTCAGCTTTTGCATATGTTTCTAGTGTCTAAGAAAAATCTTAGGGCATAGGAGATGAAGTTTTATCTAAAGAAAAGCTCTGGAGTCCTTACTTACAGCATGTCATGGTGAGCTTGCCCTTACCACTTTGGGACCACCACAGAGGACTTCTACCCAACAGAACAAGAATTAAAGTTATCTCTTGATGAATTCAGTGCTAAGCCCTAAGCTGGACACAGCCATTTGGATAGCAAACTGACTGCCAGCAGGTGTTTTAAAACCCTACTGATAATCCTTCCATACTACCCTTATTACAGTGTTTACTGCCTAGTAAATCCCAGTCATTCCCAAGGAACCCCATTGACTAAGACACAGACTTAAAGCTTTTGAGTGATCTGGAGCACAGGCCTTGTGGGCTGAGGGAACTGGGGTTACTCAGCCTGGAGAAGAGGAGGCTCAGGAGTTACCACCTACAACCACCTGAAAGGTGATTGTAGTGAGGTAGGGGTCGGCTTCTTCTCCCAGGTAACAGTGACAGGACGAGAGGGAATGGCCTCATGTTGTAACAGGGGAGGTTCAAGCTGCAAATTAGGAAAAATTTTCTTCTCATAAGGAGTGGTGAGGCAGTGGCACAAACTGCCCAGGGAGGTGGTGGAGTCACCATTCCTGGAGGTGTTCAAAAGCCATGTGCATGCGGCACTGAGATTAGTGGGCATTCTGGTGATGGGCTGCTGGTTGGATTAGGTGACTTTAGAGGTCTTTTACAACATTAATGATTCTGTAATTCTGTGATTCGTCCTCCCATCCCAGCTTTAAGCACTGGGGATCTCATTATGCCCTACTTGTATTTCTTTTTCAACATCAGGAGAAAGAGCTCTGAAAAAAAGAAAGAGCACTTCCCAAGAGGTGCTACAGTTACACATTCATCCACAAAACTACATCAGTCACCTCTCCTAACTTGGAAACTTAATTAGTCATTTAATAAGTAAGCTTAAAATAAACGTATTTTGACTTTGGAAGTACATTTGCATCTGCTGCTATTAACAAGAATACACACACGCACATTTTCTCTGCTTTAAGTCTATTTGAAAATCAAGCTAAATGAGGAGACATCTCCAAAAAGCACATGAAACAAGAGGTATTCCTTCATTAGCATATTAACTGAAGACACGGAAAACCTACAGGAACTGAAACCAATTACTGTTATCTGGGAGTAGGAGAGGGCAGCATGCACTGCAGATTACAAAGGTGTGGCCCTAGGAACATTCTCACTTCTTTCCCAGCCTGTCACAGAATTTTTCTGGAGTTTCAAGCCCCACACAGATGGAGAAACAGAAAATTACCTCTTCTTCATTCTTTCTTTTTAGTTTGGTTTTTTTTTTTTTTCCTCCTAGCTTTGCTTTCTCCCAAGACAAAGGAAGTCTCAGAGTTGATAAATTCTTTGCTTCCTCCCAGAGGGAAGAAACCGTCAGGGATAATAAGCGACCTTGACTTGCCTTAAGGTGCATGGCATTTCAATGGGTTCCTTGTCTATCAACATAAAACAAAAGAGAATAAAAAATCAAATACTGCTCTTTGTTGGATTTTTCTGGGTGTAGAATGTAAAAGCAGCTGCATTTTCCTCCATTAAAATAGAATCTGACCTACAAATTTGATTTGCTATCTGCTTTAAAATAGCGGTAGTCTCATGGCATAGAAATTGAACAACAACTGTAATGTATTGTATGTTTTTTTTCCAGTTCTTGAGACCTTTTTTTCATTGATCTGATTGTTAGCTTTGTGCTGTACCTGTAGCACAAGCAGCCATAAATCCAAACTACTCAGCCAGTTAAACCAGGTTAATCTCTTGTGCCATCAAACACAACTTTGCCTGAAGAATACGTTAGTGAACATGAGTTTCAGTGCAGACCTATCTCACTGTTTTTATAAGAAATTACACAAATGCATCTTGAATTGCATTTTAAAGTATTTCGTTCAGTGGGAATTTGGAAAAGGAAAGTGACTCAAATCTTTTGCAATCAGATTTAAATTAGTGGCAGAACCATGTTTTTTTTTAATAGGAATTAGAATCAACTCTACTAGTTTTGCTGATATATACAGAAAGAGGGGATAAAAGAAACCACAACATGTTTTTTGTTTTTTTTTGGTTTTTTTTTTTGTCCACTTAGAAACCAAAAGTGATGTTTTGAACCCAAGTGTAACCTCAGACAAAATTAATATTGATGTAACAGATTTTCTGACCTGAACATTTAATTATATTTTATTTTGAAAACACTGAGTGTTCCTCATAATATCATAAATCAACAGATCATTTCTGTTTTAAAGATCCAGCAAGACTACTGTTCCACAATTTTCATTTCTTTGATAACAATTCTATGCAGAAAAGGAAAAAAAAAAAAAAAAAAGTAGATCAGCTGAATTT